GCAAACAAAAATCTCCATCAAGGAACCAGTAGGATTATAGATTACACACATTTAAGTGCATCCAGGGCTTTTCAAAGAGCTGTTGGGGGGGGGGGGGGGGGGGGGGCGGAGGATGGAAGGGGGGCAGACCAACAATACTGATGACACAAAAGAAACATTCATCTCTTGCTGCTTTGCCTTGCCATATTTTAAACACACTTGACACTTTGCAGTGGAGAAACTATTTAAATAAAAATCAAAACTTGTATCTGTCCTGGAGATAACACGTTGATTGCTCTTCTGTGTACAGACTTCTGTGAGAAGTAAGAAATGTCTTGTTTTAAGACAAGTGAAAAATCTACTTCTGTTTTCATTTTCTAAATTGAAAACAATGTGGAAATAGCATCAGTAGTAAATATTCTTAATTTTAAAATGTTTAATTCAAAGTTTAGAGAAGGTCTGTAATAGAGACCCTAAGTTCTCTCTATTGTGATAGTTTATGGTTGAACAGTTTAAGTAGCAGTTCGTAGATCAGTGCCTGCTTGCTCGCATTCACAGAAGGCAATTCATTCACCTCATTGCCCATCCTTCCCATCTATGGGCAACCATTCGGCTAAATTCTGTATTGTAGCAAACCATTTAGTGATACTCCATTTTCTGCTCAGTAAACATCCTTTTTGGCTGGAGTAACAAGAAGGGAGGAGGCTGGGCAGGGGTTTATATTATGGCTTCCTATATCTTTGAGGGCAGGAACAAGAAGGGCCATCATAAAACTCTTGTAGAGAGTAGCACCTTGGACAGAGAAGCTGTGAGGAGCATGACCCCAAACTTGAGGAGCTTATCAGAGGAGTGAAGTGTAGCAGTGTGGGGATAAAAATGAAACGGCTTTTGTTTAGTTGAGTAGAAGACTTTCCATTTTGTTAACGAGATGGTGAAATACTGTGTGTAAGCAGATTGGTTTGGCTTTGTTTCAACTGCTTCTTAGCCTGACTTTTCTGCAAAATTGAATCTGTTGTCCCTCTTGTGTTCAGCTTTGGTGTATAGCGCTGTTTGCCGGCAGCTTCACTTCTGTTTCCTCACTGTAGTATTAATGTGTAAGTGCAGTTTGATGTAATGGAGAATTTTAGTTCTTTAGGATTTACTCTGGAGAAGGAGGACCTTTTATGATACTTGCAAAAGAAGGCTGCCAAATCTTAAATTTGCAACAATCTACTTGATTATTTTTTTTTAGTATTTAATGCTAATTGCATTACTATGTTGTAGGTTATCCACCGGACCTAAAATAATGAACAGACTTTAATTTCCTCACAAATATTTCCCCCTTCCTCTGGTGGAGAGAAGCTTCTATATGTACTAAAGTTTAGAGAAGTCTTAAAAGATAGCATTGCACGCATTTCTCATTAATTTGATAATGAGATTTGTAATAACAATTCAGGAGTTTTAAATAAGCACTGGTTTAAGATTTATTTGTATTTTGATATTCTTGCTGAAGAGTAACTACAAAGCAAAATTACACTGCTGCTCTTTCCCAGCATAACTTGACGTATTCAAAGTCTGTTGACTTTTCAGATGTTTTATATTGAAGACTTTATGTTGGAAAAAATAAGTTAATAACAAGGATACAAATACATTTGCAGCTGTCACAATTCTAAAAGGTATATGCAACATACTAAAAATAGAAAGTAGAGGTAGATAGAACCTCAAGTCTTAGCATGTTCTCTTGGCCAAGGCAGTCATCTTTTCCTAACTTTTTGTGATGAATTGTGTGGGTAAAAAGGAGGAAGTCCTTATGTGATATATGATGGTCCCTGGGTTTACTTTCTGACAGCTTTTTCCATGATATTGACTCTAATTTAGCTTAAATCTGTTGAGAACTCTGGATCTCCCGTGGAATAGGGCACACTTGGCTAGGTAGCTATCTTGCAGCCTTGCAAATGAGTCGTCCTGTTTGTACATTACTTGGTTTATGCATTGCTAATTTGTTTTGGACCACTCTTCAATATTGCTTCTAACCATTTTCTCCACACATCTTTTGGTTTCTCTTCTATCATCTGCAAACTGTGCTATTTTCTTCATTTGTCTCAGCAATTAATGAAAGTAGTACCAAACCCTTCAAACTCCGCTGATGCATCATTCTGGCTTTCTAGTGAATGACGAGCACTGTTCTCTGCATGCAGTAACTTGTATGATACAGTTATATATGTCAGTGATCCACCTACCTGATCTTGGTGTTTTGAAATGGGTGGATATTTGCTAAGGAGAAGGGACTAGAGAATCTTCTTCACAGAACAGATTAAAATTAACTAATTCCATAATGGAAGGCTGAAATGACTACTGTGCATACATATGTGTCCAACGGTACTAATTTTACATTGGATCAACTTGTGTTATGCTGTACTGCTAAAATTCCTTCCTGTGTAGGAAGATAATTATCCTGAAGATAATTACTGGAAAACTTGAGGAGGGAAAATACAATTCCAGCTCTTACTTTGCTATGAGACATTACCTTAACAGTACTTGAACTTCAGCTTACTTCAGGCATTTGGAAATAACGAGAGTGGGGAGGAAATCACACAATGCACAGCTGTGATAAGGGGCTTCTGGGATGTATATTTCATGTTTGCCTATATTGTTTAGTATGGGCACTTTCAAACAATAACGTTGCATACTGGCATTTGTACAAGTATGTTTTAGTTTAGACTGCTTAAGTGTATCTTTTGTGATGTTTAGAATTTTTTATAACCGCAGATGTTTCTTAGACTTAAGTTGCAGCCATTTTTGTTAAGAACTGGCAGATATACTTTGCAGAAGATGCTAAACTTTCCCAATGTAAACAAGTTGTAATTTTTACTGCCACCTGTGTGAAACAAACTAGTATGCAAGACAACTTGGAGGTCAGCTGTTCTGAAAGTGCAGCCCCTCTTTCAAAGGAGTAACAAGTCTTGTTCGGTCTTACCTTTTTGAGCCTTCTGCTGGCACTAATTAATTAAAGCTGCCTGTTCAAAAAGGGAAAATAATAGAATGAATCATACAGAAATTGTTGGCAAAAGTAATAGCAACTTCAACGGCATAACATGTCAGTGCAGCAGCTCTTACTATAGTCTCCCAAGTTATTTGTAGATGACAAATTTAAGAAGCTTGGAGGAAAAACTTCTTCCCTCTGAGGGTGATGGAGTACTGGAACAGGCTGCCCAGAGAGGTTGTGGAGTCTCTTTCTCTGGAGATATTGAAAACCTGCCTGGATGCAATCCTGTGCAACCTGCTCTAGGTGATCCTGCTTTAGCAGGGGGTTGGACTAGATGATCTCCAGAGGTCCTTTCCGACCCCTACCGTTCTGTGTGATAAGTGCTTGCATGAGCGCAGAGGAGGAATTGTAATTAATCTCTGGTAAAGAAGCTTGAACTCTTCACTTCTTGGGCAGAACTTTCATTTAAAAGAATATCCTCACAAGAAGAGGAAAGACTTGGTGTATGAATAGAAAATAGCTGTGTTTTCCAATGTTTATTTAAAATTAGCTATAGTTGTTTTCTCAGGTGCATCTTGATTTAATAAAGTTAAGGGCCTAGCAAACAAACTTAAAAGCTACTGATATAACTTCAGTTTTCACTTAATTTTTCTACACTTAAGCAGATCTTAAATTTCAGTTCTGATCCCTTTTTTTAATCTTTGTTTTTTGGGCTTTTTTTTGTTTGTTTGTTTGATTTTTTGTGGGTGGTGGGTTTTTTAATGCTTTTTCATTCCACTGAGTAAAATTCTCTGGGCTACTTGGAGTAAACAATCTTATGCTTTCTGGTAGCTTCTAGACTATTAGTGAAATCTGAACCTAAAGCTGAACTCTAAATTGAATACTTCATGCGGTAATCTTGGGAAAGATATGTTGAGTAAATTCAAAATCAGTCTATCAGAAGTATGGTTTTTCTGCTCTTTTATGTGGTTATATCTGTAGTCTTTTTCATGTAGCCGTAATGTTGTCTATAAGATCATGGTCAATTCCCTTTTAAAGGGAAAACTTCATCCTTGCATTTAGCAGTGAAAATTACTGTCCTTCAACTCTTTTCTTTGTTATGTAGTTAAAAGCAAGTGTTTATACTTTTGCTGTATAGGAGAGCCTTGGGGGAAGAAAAATGTTCTATTTGGCGTAAAACCGATAAGGTACTTCTTAGAAACCTGAATTTTTTTAATGTCTAACTGTTATGTGCCCATTGTACTGCCAAATTAGAGTGGAAAAACCCTGCTTTGTGTCCAAATTCAGCTTGGTTACTTTTTCAAACTGGAAAAATGGCAGGTGAAGTTTTCCAGCTCTGGAACGTATGGTTAGAAATAGAAGTTTTTCAAGAAGAGTCTCTGGAAATAGTTGAGGTGTTTACACTGAGTCTATGCTGGTTATCCAAGCTTCCTTTAGAGGGGAGAGAATAGGAGTGAATGGATCTGGATTACAGGCTTGTCACTGTGTGTGTAGCCGAATACATGTATATCGAAAGGCGGTGGGCTCACTGTTTGTTGCCTCTCTCTAAGGTTTCTTTAGACCTGTAACAGAGAAATGTTTCAAAAAAACCCCCAACCCATAAAAGCTAAGGAGACAATCTGCCTTCATGAGCCTGGTGGTGCGTGCTGCTTGGTATGAGAGAGTTCTATATTGTATTCTCCTGATTGTAAGACGAGCTTACTGTGACTTGAACTCTACTTTAGAAAGACTTTCTTACTGCTTTGGTTGCAGTTGCAAGACTGAAATTGTTTGAGGTGCTTAACTATTCCTTAAGGTATCTTCTTAAAGATACATGTAAGCCTATTTCAGATAGGATAGTTAGTGGCATAATTGCATTTATCAATAATTAGAAATAAGATCTGAAGCTGAGGCATGCACTTTGAACAGATGGATGAGTTGGGCAAAGCCCGCTATATTTCAAAACTTTAATGAGCTCAGTCACCCTGTTAGTATATAGTTTCCTTCTTGCCCCTGGTGGTTTTTAATATGTAACTGCAATTAAAGATTGAGTGGTATCTAACTTCTTTCTCTCCAGGTGAAGACGGAGCAGGTAAAACTAGCTTAATAGGAAAAATTCAAGGCATAGAGGAATACAAAAAAGGAAGAGGAATGGAGTATTTGTATTTAAATGTGCATGATGAAGATCGAGATGGTAAGTTTGTATGTCTAATAGCATCTTAAACCACTTTGAAAGCAATGGTTCAGTAGTGTGATATTTGGAATGACAGTGGGATGTTTTTCTTTCTTGATAATTTGCAGGAATCCAGCTTATGCCATGAGCGATTTGCATCATGAGGAAGTTTCTCAGTGTAATTCTTTAGTAGATACCATGAATGACAACTTAAGTGGTAGAGGAGGAGAGGAAGCAGTCAAAAGACCAGGGAAGCAGTCTTAGCTGCAACATTCTGAATGGATGGTAGGCAAAAGTGCATTCCTCAGGCCTAGAGGAAAAGGTGCCTGGGCTCTTATCTTGCATCTCAATTATTGCAGAAAGGATTTTTCTTTTTGGACATACAGAGAAACCTTTGTCTTGGTGGGTTTCAAGACAGAAATCTGCTAGACTATGTATCATGTATTGATGGGTATGAAAATGCGCACAATGCTAAAGGAGACTTTTAAAACAAACAACAATAGCAAAAAAAGCCAAACTACCAACCCAAAGATTTGGAGGAAGGAGAAAGTAAAGTAGAAGCTGTGTTTCAACTTGCTTGAGTTGGCTTATGGCTAGAAGGTAAAAAAGATGTTTTAAGATCCAGACCCCAAATTCCTGTAGTTATGGAATGAATAATTGATGCTTATATATGGGAGGGACACGGAAAGGAGTATGACCGGGCACTGTAGAGGTCCAGTGAATTATCTAGAGGCAATGCTTGTAGAGGGAGTGGGATGTGAATAAGGACATACTGGGAGCTGTGTAGAAAAAATGGGAACTCTTGTCCATGCTATAAGGACAAATATATAGGTAGAAAGAGAAATAGAAGTAGTTGGCTTTTTTTTTTTTTTTTTTCTGAAATCATCTGCTTTCCTGACTTCCATGTCTGGCTATTGGTCTCAAAGATGACTTGACCAAGGTTAAGAGGATTCAAAGTTTGGTCTAAACATCTTCCTCAGAACTTCTGTAATGAGTAATAAAAACTTACCTGAAGGCAAAATATAATTATATTAAAATATCTAACTTTGAATCACCAGCTCTTCATTAACTGCAGAAGTTTCTCTGAATATTGGAGTATGGTGGTTTTGGGGGGGTGGGGGGGAGCAGGGGGGAAAGCAGTAGGATGGTCTGTTTGTATGGTGATTGTCCTTTTGCAAATCTGAAGAACAACTTTCTTGCCCACTAACTCCATCCAAGTCATTAAAAACTTGCAGTTCTGCCCCAGTTTTCTGAAGGGCCAAGGTACATTCTGTTCTTTAAGAGTTGTATAGGCATATCATGTTGGAGTTTTGAAGGGGAGATAGCAGTCCTTGAGAGCAGAGCAGACCAAGGGCTGAGAAGGGATGGCTGAATTCACCCAGTTCTCCCCTTCTAAGTTGCATCTTGAAGAAAACATGTTACCTGTCTAAAATGGTGAACATTAATTTTGGAAATGTTGAGTGCTATGTCTGGATTCTCACTTTCAGGCAATGTATTTAAGATCTCAGTTATCAGCAATTAAGCATCAGGGTTTGGAGGAGGAGGTGCATCTCCACAAGCTGCAGTTTGCTGTGCTGTTATGTATGTCCAAGTGACTGATAGAACATGTCATCTGCTTTCTTCCTTGTATTTTACATGTCTAAAGCAGATTTAATAGCCATTACATAATGGACTGTTTCAAGTAAGTCTCATAAAATGTTTTCCCTTTTTTTGTAGACCAAACAAGATGTAATGTATGGATTTTGGATGGTGACCTGTATCACAAAGGTCTTCTTAAATTCGCAATGGAGGCAAGCTCTCTAAAGGACACTCTAATTATGTTGGTGGTAGACATGTCTAGGCCTTGGACTGCACTGGATTCTTTACAAAAATGGGCAAGTGTTGTAAGAGAACATATTGACAAGTTAAAAATTCCTCCCGAAGAAATGAAAGAAATGGAACAAAAGTGTGAGTATTCTGCAAATACGTAGGAATCCATTTAATTCAAATATGCTTAATGCTTTCTGCACCATTTAATGTCTCCATTGCAGTCTCTTTCATTCTTTGGAAATGTTACTTAAAGTTAGGAGGTATCAAGCAAGTCAAGCTTCAGATAAGTCTCAAGTAGCTATATGAACAATACTAGTATTTCTTTTTAATGCAAGTACCTTAATTGGGGGGGTGGGAGGGGAATGAACACAGCTGGGCTGAATTTAAAACCTTGCTTCTTACAAATTTTTCTAGGTAAGATTCTCCAAGTGAAAAAACTTCTTAGCTTTCAATTTTTTATTTTATTTTAAAAGCAAATCACTGCATCAGTTCCTTAACTGTTCCTGTAATTAGTCAGTCTAGAGAATTTGGGACCTGTTCCCTGCCTACCAAAAGTGTAAATGTTGAAAGGATTCATGACAGCATGGTAATGTCTGGGCTTTTTCTACCTGAAGAGTTTTATCATAATTATTATTGATACTAATGCAGCTATATGCTTGTTTTGGCATGGATATGATATAACTCTGTCAGTGTCTTGTCTTTTTAGTTTTAAACATGTAGAACACAAAAAGATTTTGCAGGATTCCTTAAATTACCTGACTGAATGCACTAACGTCATAGCTCCCTGTTACTTTTGGGTAGCTGCTGCATTTCCTTTAGGGTACTAAAGCATGAGTCTGAGCAAATAGCATGATTAAATTTTGTCTGTAAGTTGTCTGAAGTTGCTCTCTGGAACTGAAATGTTCTTAAGCAACTGACTGCCACATTGCTGAATGGCTTTTTCAGAAATGCAGGTTGTAGCCATGCTGTGATAAAGTAGCCCATAATGTGACAAGTGTAGATACTCTGGAATGGGGGGAGGATGTTGGTTGTTTTGTTTATTCTTTTGAGAGAGATATTCCTCTAAGGGGAGGTACCATCTTTGAGAATCACATCTTCCACAACAAGAACTTGTTTAGGAGGGAGGAGCTGAGCAATCTGGGTGTGAGTTTTGGTTTGGTTTTGTTTTCAGGGGATGGTGTTAGTGTATGTATTAAACACGTGCCCCAAACAGTTTCAGGATAGGATTTTACTGGATTAAAGTAGTAAGGACGCAACATCTCCGTTATCAAAAATGTGTAGGCTGATAGTTTTGCTCTTTACCGACTGAGTGAACAGAACAGTCAAACTCTACAAAATCCAGAAAATTTAAGTGATGAAGCGACTCAAAAGAAAGCAGCTGCTCATTAAAAGTTTTGTCTGTTCTCTTTTTTTATCATCTCGTCTAATTCTTATGGATATTGATGGTCTGTATGTTGGGTATAATAGAAGTCCTGGACACAATCCAGATATGACTGGAAGCTGGTTTTGTTTTGAACCTCCTGTGATGTGGCTTCCTGTATTGCTAGGCAGGCAGCAGCTTGATGCTGCCAAAAGGAGAAGGGAGGAACCTTGCTTGCCTGACTTTTGCCTGCATGTTCCTACTTTATTCTTGTGTCAGGCTCAGTGCTCCTGAGAGGCTCCTACAAGCTGGTTTAACTTGCTAAGAGGAGTGAAATCTACTGAGGGTTTATGTGTGTAGTTTCTGGAGGTGTGCTGCTGCATTTGTCTTCCAGTCCAGCAACTTAACTCCACTCAAAGACAGACCCTGTGAGGACTAAAACCAGTGTGGGAAAGCATTAGGGGATACATAGCAGCTGTGTGTGAAGGGTTGGAATGGCTCTTCCTGTTACTGAATTCAGCTGTGTCTAATGAGGCCTTGTGGCCTGGTCATTTTAATTGTGTCTGTAAGGAAGATCTGAGATTGTATTCCACAATCTTTGAGCTGTGAGATACCACATCAATCTTCCCTTTTACTGTACTTGTATAAAGATTAGTTATGTTATGATCATACAATGGGAATTTTAGGAATCCACTGGAGGACTTCTAGCACTGGAGTAGCATGATTTTTATTTTAGCGTGCAATTATTCCAGAACAGACAGGATGCTGTGTAGGAAAGATTCCCTTGAGTAGCTTGCATATCTTGGTGACAACTCTGGGTTTAAAACATAGTCAGTTTGGAGGCTCTCAGACCAGACTGAAGTACCAGCACTCCCTGAATAAGAGCCTGAGTTGACTGTTCAAGTAGAGATGATAATCTGTGCACATGCTTTTTGTTATTGTGGGCTCTAAGATCTGCAGAAATGTTGAATAATCTTGGCCTAATAAATCCTTTTTCTCTGGGGTGTTGAAGTAAGTCTGGCTCTGTTAATTCAACTAATGCTTTTCTAGGTGCGAACTCAGAGGGCTTCAATCAGTTTAGTGAAGGTGGAGTGAATTAACGTAAATCAGGATGAAGCAGTGAGAATGTCTTGGAGTACTTAGCTTTTAGTGTGTGTGATTCAGCTAAATTGTCTTGCTGCCTGATTTTTTTTTTTTTTTTTGATGAATTGGGATGTGCTACTCATGGAAAAGTAACCAGTGGTGGGTTTTGGTAGAAACCTATTTCTGCTGTGTGAAACAGGACGTGTGGTGTGAAAAGTACAGATATTTGATGCCTAATACTGCATCCCTGACTAGGACTAGTAAGCGACTGTGTGGTTATGTGCATCAGAACCTAAAAAGAGATTTACAAGTGTAACTTTATCTTTTTTTCTAATTCTTGTCATATTCTGACTTACCCCTTGCTAAATTTTAAAGTGGTATCTGATCTATTGTAAAATCATACCAAATATTTAATATGCTATTAGCTAATTATAAAGCTAGTTAACAACTAGTGTTTCTACATTCTATTCTTTTCGCTTATTACTGCTGTATACTCTCTGTACAGAGAGAGAAGTGTGAGCACAGGGGTTTTAGGTAAAACCTGGTATACGGTAGCAGCTAAGCAGTATGAGGATTAATTCTGTTTATTCTAGCAAACTGTTCCATTAATTTTTGCCAAGAAGAATGCAAGGAAAATTATGTCCTTTAGGAAATGTATCGAGCAATAATAGTTAATAGCAACTGCCTAGCAGTTCCACGATGATAAAATAAAAATGGGTTAATGCTGTCCCTATAGACAGTTTCATCTGATCATGTTCTGGCTGCTGCTAAGGCAGATCTCAAACTTACTAGTTCTCTCCTGTGCTGCACAGAGCAAAGTAGTAGTCAGCACTTAGTGCATGCTCATTTTTTTTCTACATAAAGAAGCAGAAGTATTATACAATCAACAGTGCTAGAGATCAATGGCAGTGGAAATCATTGTTGAAATAATAAAGTAGCTGATCTTTTAATATAACTTTTTTTACTTTCAGTGGTAAGAGACTTCCAGGAATATATAGAACCAGGCGAGGATTTTCCAGCTTCTCCACAGAGAAGAAATACATCATTACAGGAAGACAAAGATGACAGTGTGATTTTACCCCTGGGTGCAGATACACTAACATGTAACTTAGGCATTCCAGTAGTAGTAGTTTGTACAAAGGTTTGTTTCACGTTTTAGGTTTTTTGTGTATTTTCTTTAAGCAACTGTCAATTGTGGATTTGGGGTGGGAAGCAAATGGTTATTAAGTCATTCTATATACCTTGCATAAGAATTCTTTAAAAATGTATAATGCTGAAGGTTGGTTATCTTTTGGAAGCCTGCAGTGCATGTTACTTTGGGATTAGTTTTTCCTTTAGTTCTACCAGTTTCCAAGGAATTGAGCAATACCTCAGACCTGGTTTTGCTCACAGGCGTGAGCCAGTCAGTAAGCAAGTAGAATTCCTCTTGATCTCCACAGTCCTCCTTATTCCACAAATAGTGTTTTGGTAGGTTTTTCTAATATTTCTGATCTTTTCCTGAAGATGAATATATTTGAGGATTGTAATTAGTAAAGTCCTGCTCTATTAACTTTCCTCAGTTCTTCGGGGTGTTTCTGTGATCTGTTTTGGTTTCTGTTAGATATGTAACCATATTCTTAGTCTAAACAAAAAATGGCTTGGTTTTCTTGTGGCTGCTTTTTGGTTTTGGCTTTGAAGAGCTCCCAGCTCTTCAGTTCTCACTGGCATTAAGCACACTGCATCTGCAGCCTCTGCTGGCCCACAGTGAAAGAATAAACCTTTTGATGCATATGCTGTTCCTTCACTGGAAGGCTAACCCTCTCGTTTGAAAAGCACCTTTATTCTCACCTGCTAGCTCTCTGTTATTCTTCTCCCATGCACGCTTTTTTTTCTGCTTCTACATTTCTTGCTTTTGCCGCCCTTTGCAAAGGGCTAGTTAGTAACTGGATAAAAAACGCTATTTTACACAGTGTATGAAAATACACTGGGGAGAAAATGGTGGTGTCATTGAGTGGAGTCAGTCTTCAACAGAGACTTTGAGTTACTGCACTGGAGGCAGAGAAGAGGAGTGAATGAAAAATGACAATCACTTTAAGTCCCGAGTCAATGCTGACCACAATACATGCACATCAAGTTACATATTTTTAAAGAAAGAAAAATGTTCAATTATGCTTCTAAACTATCTCAGCAGGTTTTTGGTTTCCTCTGCACCATGCACCCTACTCCATCCCCCTTGCCCAGTTGTGAACTGCATGCGTAGCAGCACTTCTATTTCAACAGACAACTGAAATTGGTATACTAATTTTGTGTTTATTTTGACAGTGTGATGCCATCAGCGTTCTGGAAAAAGAACATGACTACAGAGATGAACACTTTGACTTCATTCAGTCACATATCAGACGGTTTTGCTTACAGTGTATCCTTTAACATGTCTTAAAGATGATAATGACTCAAATCTCTGCATTATGACCAGCTTAAAAGAATATTTGTGTCTACACCAAAGTAGTATGCAACTCCTTTACTGTAGCTGGCAGTCTGCTTCAGCTACTCCTACAGACAACATTGAGTTAAACTTTTCTGGTTTTGAGGGGGGAGGTTGTTGGTTTGGGGTTTTTTTGGAGGGGGAGTATGTGGGTTTTTTGGGTTTTGTTTGGGTTTGGGGTTTTGTTGGTTTTTTTTTTTTCTAAGAGCTGCAAGTCTAGCATGTCCCCTTACCATGAATTTCTTTACTTGCCTTCATTTCCATATTTACGGGTCAGTTTGCAAATCAGTGCATCTTAGCTGACAAGACACCTAAATGAATTATCTTGTTGTTATTATTTTAAATATGATCTTGCTTCAGATGCACCTAAGGCATGTTATTCTTTTTGACCCAAATATGCAGCCTTTTCAGTGTTCAGTAATACCACAGGATGAGGTGATGAGGGAAGGAAGGAAGTGTGAATTGCTTTAGGAAAGATCCACTGTCTGCTTTTGTGTTGGTGCAGAGACAATGCATGTAAACTGTTGCTGTGCTATTATTTTTAAACTTCGTTTTTTTAAAAAGTGTGTAAAACACCGATTAGTGTTGTTTAGTCAGCTGGACATGCGGAGATCTAGATTTTAGATGCCAGTAATATGCCTATGTTGTGTTACCATCACTTGTGCTGTGGTAAAGAGAAGTTTAAATGCTATTGGAGAGACAGCAGTTAACAGATGGAAAAATTAGTTCAAGAACCTGAGACCTCAGTTGAGTACCCAGATGGCACTTCCTTCAAAAGGCTTCTAAGACCTAATTTTTCAAAATGCAATTATGGGTAATTGTAATAAGTCTTGTGGTTGGAAGAAGAATATGAAAAATTAGTAGGAATTAGTCTCCATGGTTGTATATGTCAGCAACTTGGAATCGTATTCTAAACTTCACTGAATGGGAATTGGATCCCACTGTATAACTTTCTTCTAGAATTTTAATCACATGCACATAGAAATAAATTAGGGTTTGGCATTTTTATAATCCCAAAGTAGAAATCACTCAAAACTTCCCTGGCTGCTTTTATTAATCCTGTGCCTAAGCTGTGTTAACTTGATACTGAACCATGCTGGAATACTAAGCACTCTCTTGGTCTTTCAGTGATTGATATACAGCACAACTCATTTGCCTTCGTTTCATTCGAAAGCAGATCACTGTATAATGGAAGAACTTACTCCCCTAATCTAAAAACCCAGGTGGGGAAGTGAAAGATCTTTGGCATTTTTGAAGCTACTGGTGTTAATGCTGTAGCGTCTGCGTTGCAGGATGGGATAGTGACAAGATAGAAGGATATGGCATGAATGATATGAAGACAGTTTTGAAGACATGGTGAAACTGTGGGTATTGTGGGCTTTGAAAGTGAGAAGAGCCTGTACTTTACCCTAAACGCAGTAGCTGAGTTGGCCTAAAATGAATGCAGAAAGAAAGATTTAAATTGCTACATCACTTATTTCAAAGATTAAGTGTTGGAAGTTTGACCTATTTGATTTTTGCGTTCCCCCTCTAAATTCTACAAAGGAGATAACCTTTAAGCTAACAAAACTAGGTCACCTTAGTCTCTCTTACTGGCCAGTAAACTGAGTTTTCTTTAACAAGTTTATTCAGATGGGGCAGCACTTATTTACACTTCAGTAAAGGAGAACAAAAACATTGATTTAGTGTATAAATATATAGTCCAGAAGTTGTATGGATTTCCTTTCAATGTTCCAGCTGTTGTTGTGGAAAAAGACGCTGTATTTATGTAAGTTGTCTGCATTATTATGTGTATATGGCTACAAAAATGTATTTGTGCAAGACCGTAAACAGCATTTAGAGCCTTTTTTATTTACATTTTTTTAAAGTTCCATTTAACATTCTCCTGAGTTGAAGTTTGAGTGCCAGTGGATTGAGATTACAAATACTGGCTGCCCCAAAGATAAATGTTAAACCCAGAGATGTTGCTCTTCTCTGTTATGGTGAACTAATCTCTAATTAGTTGTACTAGTCAATAACTAACTTGCCCAGGAAAATGGGAGCTACGACAACTTTCCTGGCTTTCAGTTCCGTGCAATTCAGGATTGCATACAACAATAACCTGAAGCAACAATAGACTTTAAAGCCAAATAATCCTTTATCTAGTCCTGCAGGTTGGGATAATGACAAGAAGATAGGAATATTGCACGAGAACTTTCAGACACTAAAAGCAGAAGACAGTTTTGAAGATATCATAACAAAACCACCAGTCAGAAAGGTAAATTGAGATTTATTTTTTTTTGCATTCAACTTCTTACCTATTTATTTACCTGTCAGTTTTTTGATTGTTTCTCTTTCTTTGAGACTTCGCTTCCAGTTTATCATAAGTGTGATAAACTGTGTGGTTTTTTTCTTATTTTGTCTTTTTATTTTGTTCTTAAAGTTCTTCTTTAGTTATCAAAACATCATTATGTATTTGTGTTCTGTATGGCTCTTCAGCTTACACTGGTTTGTCTGGGTTTTTTTCTGCTGCTGTTACATTGTTCAAGACTACAAATACACTTGTTTTGCTTTTAATACATATTTGATATTGAAAAGTCTGTGTCATTTAACTGTTGGTCAGGTTGAGTTGGTGTGGTTTTTTAAGAACACTCCATTTTGCTCCGAGTTGCTTCTAACTTCATAGCGCTTTCTGTTGGAGTATTTAAAATAAGAAAGCCTGAGATAGTGTAAAATCAACAATAAAACATGTGAAAACAGATTCTATGTATATTCAATATATTTTCTCTTGTGTGCTATTTAACAAAAGGCTTTCACAGAACTAGCTGAAAACACGTGTGGGGCTGTTGAACAAAATGCCAGCTGCAGTGGGCTCCATGTGTACAGAAGTTACTGAAGGCAAATATTTCTATGGCTGCTTCTAATGAAGCCAGGAATTTGATCATATTTCCAAGGGTTAAATATTTTAGCTGAGAAAATGAATACTACATCCTTTCTGCAATCTTTAGGGAAAAAATCAAGACATGTATAGTAGTATGTTAAATCATAACTGTCCAAGGAAAACATAACTGATAATTTTTTTTTTTGCATGCATATAAACTTCAGGCCTGGATTATCAACTTTGATATTGATATGTGCCATGTTTGTTTTGGCAAAGTTTTTGTGGTGAGCTTATTTGGAGGGAGTATGCTTGCAATTCGATGCGTAGACCTGTTGAAGCAATGCAGGTGCAGAGTCACTTTTGCCATAGTTATTGAGGCCCAACCTTGGTATTATTTTATAGATAAGTCTATGGAGACATGAGCATGCTGCACATCTGTGAACATTTCTTACAGATCCTGAGATCTATTTCTCTTCTAATTAATTTAGCTTAAATGGAATCATGGTCTTAAATATAGAAAATGTGGTCTGCAGTCATCATAGTACTTTACACATTTACTTCATTGTTGAATACCTTGGTTGTATTCATGGGGAAGTATAAAAGGAAATACTCTCATTTTTTTAGTCAAAATCATGTTAATGTTTTTGTATTGCAGTTTGTTCATGAAAAAGAAATTGTAGCAGAAGATGACCAAGTATTTCTTATGAAGCAGCAGGTAATTTTCTGTCTATAAAACAAGCAGCCAGTGTTTCATTTAACAACATTCTTGATACAAGTTTGGGTTTGTATTCTTAGTTACTGTAATATCTAACTACATGGGTTTATTTGGTTTTTTGCAGTCACAGTTGGCGAAACAACCACCTACTGCTGCAGGAAGGCCAGTGGTTAGTAATAAAAACTTTAAATATCATCATATGAAAATGATTCACTTTCATATATTTAGAGGGTTGCTTGTTTTAATTGCACTATCAAATACACCTTGATCTAATTTTCTTAAACTACATAGTGTTTAAAGTCTACGTCATACACTGCTCTAAAATATGACACTTCTTCACGGCTAGTCATGACAACTTGTGTTGATGACAAGGGCTAAATGTCATGGCTTTACTTTTCATATGTTAGAATGCATCTAAGCAGTCAGTTAACCCCCCCTTTCTGTCCCAAAAGTGTGCCAGGGAGCAAACTATGTTGGCTGAATTGCCTTGGTGAGTTTTATATCCTAAATTTGGCACTATCTCTCTAGGAATATTCAGACTCTGGCATAAAATTAAGGTCAAATGAAAACTATGATATCATCTACATTTAAAATACAAATAAAATAACTAAAAGGTAACACAAGTTTAATGGGGAGCATGTGATCTTATAAAGGTAGCTTTACCATTTTAGATGAACTGTGATTTTGCAGAAATATGACTTGTTATCCTTGAAGTAATGAATAATGCTTTTACTGCTGGGCTGCATTTAGTCCTTTCCAGACTATTGGTGTCTTTCCAAGAAATTTGGTGTAGTTCCTCTATGATCTAATTGGTGCAGTTTTCATTACGGTCAGAGGCACTACTAATACATGGATTTTCAAGTTTCTCATTGACATAAAATGAAAAGCTTCACTACTGCTTTAGTTGCACTAAAGTTAGTATTTTTAAGAATGTTATACAAGTGGTTAAAATAAAAAAAACCCAAACACTTGTACACAATCATCAAAATCTAATCCCATATCATTTCAGTTGTGTGGGCTACTGCATTATTAAAAAACAAACAGAAAAAAACCCAACCCAAAACATTAGGAGCTGTGGGAACAAAATGCTGCTTTTCATGTACTCTTACACAGCATGATTTAATTCTGTAGAAGATTCAGTAGTTCAGCTTTGGAAATTTTTTTTTAAATTTATTTATTTTGTCATAGGATGCCTCTCCAAGAGTTCCTGGAGGATCTCCTAGGACACCAAATAGATCCGTAACGTCAAACGTTGCCAGTGTTACACCTATCCCTACTGGGTCAAAAAAAATTGATCCCAATATGAAAGGTACCTTTTCTTATGAGGGCACAAATACAGTTGGGGAAGTAAAACAGCTGCTGTGCCTGCTTTCTTTAATATGCTTACTTAAATTGACTAACACACAAAATCAGTATTTACTTAGAAAATACGGTTTTGGTTTGGTTTTGTCATTTGTTGGTTTTGTTTGTTTGTTTTTCCCTCTGTCCCCTTGTAGCTGGAGCTACTAGTGAAGGAGTCCTGGCTAACTTCTTCAATAGTCTCCTGAGCAAGAAAACTGGTTCCCCTGGTGGCCCTGGTGGTGTTGGTGGCAGTCCAGGAGGAGGTGGCACTGGAGGTGCTGGCAGCAACTTACCATCATCAGCAAAAAAGTCAGGTATGATTAATGATAAAAGATCAACTCAGTCTAAATTGTGAGTGTGGGGATCGTTCCTATTAGTATAGTTTATCAGAAGCATGAACATTACTGTATTTAACTGAATGTTTTATGGGCTAGGGTTTTGCTCTTGTTTTCACAGCAGTTTAGTATTACCTATTTATGGCACTCAGAGGATCAAAGAAAAACTCTTCATGTAGCTGTTTAAGCACGAATTGTATCCACATGACTTCTTCATTTTTCCTTTGTTTCCCACCATCCTAATAAATGGCTTATGCTATAAGCCATTTTTAATATTATTCAGATATATTGGGACTTAATTTCAGGGTGGTTTTTGGGGGTTTTTTTTAAACAATATTGTCAATGTTAAAATAACTTGTAAATTTTGTTTTGCTAGTGATCTAGCTCTGATGTGATAAAGGTTTTGGTTGATTGAGTTTGGTCATAGCCTATAAAGCTACTTCCATATTTTCTGTTGATAGCATTTTATTACATGATGTGACTTATAATTAGTATTCATCTAAAAGTGTCTAATAGTGACTGCTCTAAATCTAGATGCAAGACTACTCTGGTGCTTCTTGCTATTCCAGACCAAAATGTTTCTGTATTACTTAAGAGCATACCTATACAGATATCTTCCCTCCCCCCTTCCCCAGAGGTTAGTAATGCTGTGCTCAGGTGAAATGCTGGTGTTTCATTGGTACTTGACATTAATGTTTATTTGTATGTCCTAAGAGGGAAAAACACCTTCCTTCCCACTAACAGTTTGTGTAGACTGACCCTGAAATATTTTTTACACGTGTGCACTTCCCTTTTTTTAAATGCAAAGTTCAGTTGGCTGAGCAAAGTTTGAGTACTTCCTAATCTGCTGCAGGCAAAGACAGCAGTACTAGTTTGAACAGCACATGGAGGTTGTTCAAACAAATGCAGCTGACGCAACATGAGATGCCGAGAGCACTCACTGAAAAATTCTGTGGGGAGTGGCCGCCAGTGGGTTTAGATGATGCCAGGCAGGCGGAGGCAGCACTCCAGAAAAGTGATGTGTCCAAGGCCAGGGCAGAAGCTTCAAGAACAGAATTAAACTACTAAGGAGAAAAAATGTCCTCAGAAATTTTCAACTATGCAACAAATGAAGGGTTAGAATGTAGCCGGTTTAATGTGGCGAAGGACTAGGTTTTCAAGGAGTTACCATAAATAAAAATGTTAGGCTCAGGTGTGCCCTCTTCACCTTCCTCAGTGTTTCTTGTCTTGCATTTAGTGTTATCTGTAAAACTCACTTTTCAAATCTGAAAATTGGCTCTTAAGATACTAGTTTGGCATTTGAGAATTACTCTTTC